CAAAGACCTCATTAGTCTTTTTATAGGTGGGCCTATTTGTACAAAGTCCTCTGATGACAGCTTGTGTTGATGTTGGTCCTGGAGGTGAAGTCTTCTGAATAGTTTTTCAGTTTCTTTTTGACGTTTCTTTTGGTTATCCTCAAAAGAATTGCAAATAGACTGCATAAAGAAAATATAACAATCAATGAATGTTTGAAAAAAATACAAAGTAAAAAATGATAATAGTCTAACCTCATGTATGGGTTCATTGATATCCATCTGCAGTACACCTAAAAAAAGCAAAGATTATTTTCCAAATTATTCACAAATGACCTAATATCTTACTATTTTTCTTGCAAAAGTATGTAGCATGCTGTATATATCCATCCCTCCATTGTGTACTATGTATTCGTGATCAGGTTTCCCGAAAGACATTCTTAAACATCATTACAAGGCCTTTACTTTGAGTTGGAGAGTAGACTGTTTTGTAAACTGACAACCTTATCTTTCGGCTCAGTTCTTCTATCAGCAAATCAAAGTGGACAGCATTCACATCACTGTGGTTGCTGACTAAATCTGCCTATTAACACAGTCCTTTGTTCACTCCATACACTAGAGAGTGTTATGTATTCATTCTTGAGGTATGATCAATCCAGATCTCGTGTTGAATGATCCAACTCAAGATTAAGACGGGTTAGAAACTCTTCCAGTGCTTGTTTTAAGTGCTAACAGTTGATGTGGCCCAAATAGTTTGCAAAACACACATTAAATCTATCTATCCATCCATTGCCAGCCATTAGTGGCAATTGCCACTCCATCACAGGGGAAGACAGACTCAAAGTTAAGACAAACTCACATGAGAAATTTAGGATGTTCAATTGAACTCAGATGTGATTTTGGACTGTGATGGAAAACTTGAGTACCTGGAGAAAACCCTGACATTCACAGGAAGAACATGTCAACTCAAAATGGAATCTAAACCTGTGATGTTCTTGCTGCCAGCTAACAGTGCCTCCAGCTGTGCCACCATGCAGCTTCCCAATGAAGTTTAAAGGAACCAAAACAGGAGAACTTCCACCAATTGACTTTGCCTTAAAAATCTATACAAATGTAAAAAACATGTTACTGATCAATCACTGAGTTGAAGGTGGTCAGCCAAACACTGGCTAACTACCTTCAGCCAGTGATTGATCATAAGAATTGAGATGTTGTCTCTTGGACACTCTAGCGAAGAGATGGACACAACTGTCAACTAATGACCCTTGAGCTTGATATATTGGCAACGAGGTTGCCAGACAGACGTGGGAAAACCCAAAAGAGTGGTGAGGGTGAAATATGAGGTTTAGAGGATCTCCAACATCTGTGAGACCAATCCTTGATCTTTTGAGAGATGTAAGGAACATTGAATTCAATTGGACTATATTTAGCTTTTCTGTTATGGATGCAGCTTTCAGGAACTGTGATCTTAAGGTCATAGATTTGTGATGATGGATGGACAGATTGGTAGATGGATTGTGTAAATCTTACCTTTCTCCTTTGTTTCACAGTGAACTGTCTTGTTTTCCCACTGTACTTCTCTGTTGTCATACATTTTTTTAGATTGTTCAGCACCAACATGTTTCTTCTGTTGATCATACAAAAAACATGATTTGACATTAGCTTTTCAGTTGTAATTAGTTTTTCAGAGTTTATTTAGAAACAAGAAAATTTCAAAAACGTAACACGAAAATTCCTGAAGGCATTTTAAAAGAGCCTGCCATTTTGGGTGTAAATCAGAGGTTCTGTTGTTGAGCTAGGACTTTTGCAAAGCAGTGAAGCTACTGGATTGTCTTGAATTGAGCCGGAATAAACGATGTAGCGACATAAATTAGTTGGAAAAGTAATACAGATACTTTTCTATGTTGAAATGTATTAGTTACTGTATTCCATTACATGTTTTTAAGATGAAATTGTAAATTCAAAAATTTGATCAGGTCTTTATCCAAACATTTTAGTTTATCTTACCTTAAGTTCAGGTTCAGCTTCAGCCTTTTCTTCTGTAGGATTATTTAGGGGAAAAAAGAGCAGATTATATTATCTTATTATTTGCCGAAGGCTATCTGCAAAGATTAACATTTAAAAATTTTACGTTAAGAATTTTGTCAAATATATATATTTATAGTCTAACAGATCCTTTGCTATTACTCACTGAATGTTACTATGCATATAATAAGTTCTTGTGAAATCAGTTTAATAAAATTGCTAAAAAAAAAAAGTTTTAATCACCATCAAATCATACCTTTGGTGATTTTTGCTTTATGTGGTACATCATATAGTTTCTTCTGGTCTCCATTTTTTCCAGAGGATTGTTCACAACAATCGTCTGTATCTCTTTCAGAGAGCATGAGATCGATTTTTTCCAAAAGAGTTATCATCTCTTCAGCGTCTGCCATAGTTCTTATACATGTGTGGTATCTTTTTTCAGAAAAACCATTCTTGTGTTTTAGGTCCTGGAGTGCACTTTCACAGTTCTCATTAGTCTTATGGGTAATTACTGTCACGACATGAGGAATGTTCTCCTTCCCAAAGGTTTTTTGGAACCACAACATTCCTTTACTGTATTGGCTTTCATGCTGGCCATTTGGTATCAACAGGACAAAGGCATAAACAGACTGATATAATGGGATGTCATAATTATTTGGAAGACCAAGCATGTTAATGACAGAGATGTGGCGGCCACACAGATCGTACAGGGAGGATGAAAACTCTTCCACTTGTGTTTCCTTGTCAAGGAGAACATTATTTGGCTCAAGATCAACTGAATTTGTTTCACCAATTAACACAAGAGTGAGAGATGGCATCGCTGCAAAAAAGAGAGAAATCTGTCATTACATGTACAGTACTTTACATCATACAACTTTTAAATTATATAACTTTCATTCATTGTTACCTCTATCATCTCTTGTAGATGCTGTAGATGTAATTGGAATCTTCCTGTCTGTGTTTTTATCACAGCTGTCTGCTTGTTGAGTGTCCATAAGATCTTCCCCTGCATCAGACTAAAAAACAGATTTTTCACTGTATGTCCGTCAACTAAGACTTTGAAAGATATAGTTTTATAACATAAAAGACCACCCTGCCTGTTTCCAGTGCTCTTTTTTTTAATTTGTGAGTAAAATTACTCTAGTATGTAAAGCAGAAAAGTGAGTATTGAACTTGTAATTTATTTTTAGCAAATATATTTTCTTGACACCAAAAGTTGATGACAACCCAAGTAAAACATCATTATAAATAAATAAATACATAAATTATGTGTTAATGAAGTGGAATGACACAAATAAAAAACTTGGAAGAAGTTGATGGAAGCAAATATAAATGAGATGAAGGTAGATTTTTCCAAATCAAATACAGAGAATTAAATCTCTACAGATATGATTGGAAATAAGAGTATTGAAACTTTGTTTGTGTGGATTAATTGGGTCAAGACTGACAGCTGGTGTAAGTGTCATGTTAGTAAATCCTTTGATTTGTAGAGATATGTTCAATACTTATTTTCACCATTGTACTCTCTAATTTTACTCTAGTTCTGGAACTGTAATGTTATTTGTAAACTTTTCTTTGTTGAAGTGTACTCTTAAAAAAACATACAAAAAATGCTTACCTCATTTTCACTTGTCCTTTTTTCTACTTTGGCTGCAGGATAATGCAAAGCACTGTTTTAAATACAAGACAGTAGAGGGTAGCATTTCCAAATATATTATTTTCAGATTTAAATTACCTTCATCACACACATGATAAGAGCTCTCTTTTATGTGTGCATCATCACTTCTTGCAGATTGTTTCTCTGGTCTCTCAGCTGTGTCTTCATCAACCTCCATTCTAGCTGTTTTTCATCTCTGAGGTCACAAAAATTAAGTTAATGTGAAATATATTATAGTAGCTCTGAAGCCATTCAAAGTCTTATATCAAAGATATTTTTCTACATATTGTCTTGAGACATAACTAATTATTTCTCAAACAGGCACCTTTTGGCAGATGGAATACAAAGTCAAGATTTTTACTTGAAGCCAATGTGTTAAAAGAAGAAAAAAGGAAAAAATGTACAGTATGAATTTATTGCAAATGGGGTTGGATAGCTTTGTACCAATCAGGCTAGTCATGCAGGTCAGAAGTTTATGCTTTATCTGTGTTCATCGGGTCAAGAGATTTCTCTTATCTGTGTTACAGAGCTGATATGGTGCAACAAGCAATCATAAACCTTTGACCTTTGAATCTCACAAAGTTTATGGGTCCATCTAAAACAAGAACATATAGTTTGAATGAAAAAAACAATAATTATTTCAACCATTTCACTAGAACTTTGACATGAGTATGTTAAAGTAGGTTTACCGGTTCTTAAATTTTTTTATTTGCTGGTTTTATAATATTGTATTATGTTGCTGTTTTTGTATATTGTGTTTTGCTTCAAGGGACTACAGAGGAAAATTGGCATGTCACTAAATCTGGTGTATTTATGGACACATTGCACATTCATTAAAATGCATTGTCCCATTCAAATGAATTTATTAAATTCAATCATTGGTCTTCTAGAGTCTTGTGTGTTTCCATACCAGATTCCTGACAGTAGATGGTCATCTGACATTTAACTTCTACTCCCTCATTGTTGTTGTGTTTTTAATAAAAGGCAGAACCAAGCCATACAATATGGAGGACACATGTCTGGAAGGACAAGTGCAGACAAACTTTGTTTGAATTCCTCCATTATGTATGATTGTAAGAGGATAGTGTAACTTCTTCCTGTTTCCTTTTTCTGAATCTGTTTTCCTTCTGTATTTCTCTCATTCTTTCTACATCCTTTTCATCTTTGAAAGTTTTCAGTTATTTTGTAGGCCTTCATCTTTTTAAATGTTTCTGCCTATTTTCTATTCTCGCCCTTTTGTCTTGTTTTGAATTGAAGCTTTATTGGGTCATTAAGTCAAAGTTGTAATAATCTGTTTACAGTAGGTTTAATTTCACAGTGTGATTTTTCTCAATCCACACAGAAAGAGGCACTGCAGTGGAAAAGACAAACATATCCCAACCTTCACATGAACCCCGGAGTTGTCACATTGATTCTGCAGCTTTTTGACCATCAGTGACTGATTCTAGTAAGTTTTCCCACAAAACAATAATGTGCATTATTAACAGCTTTTTTTAGTGTAAATTATGAAATTTTGGAAGAATATAAAACATTTGCATTAGTTTAGGAAGAAAATGTAATTAAATGTTCAATAATGTGAAAATAGGAAAGCAAAGGTTAGCTTGTTGTTTTGCCACCCGAATGCACAGAATTATTTTATTATACCAACAATAAGAACAAGTGTTTCTGCTCTTTGGCAAGTCACATCTTCAACAAAATTAAATGATTTTAAAACTCAAAACAAAAAATATTTTTATAGAGCAAACAGTTTAAGAAAGTATGTCATGTCTGTGATAAAAACTCACCTTGCCTGAGGTTTTCTGATCCCACTGGAGCGTTTTATTTATTACTAGGAAAGAAGCTTGTTACTTATAGTGCCTCTACTACTGAAACTCCTCCCTTTGTCTGCGATAGGCTGCAAACCTCTGCATGAACATGAACTGTAATTTGATTCCAACAAATGTAAAAGTGAAAGTAGCTCACTGGTACCTCGTGACTTATAAGAAATTCACTGACGCTGGCTCCTCAACAGCTTAAATATAACTTGCATAAGAGTACTGATAAAAATCATTTATAAGTGTCTTGTTGTAAAACCTAAGTTTGCCCTGCACTCTGGACTGATAAAATCTTAGAGACATGAAAGTTTTTCATTCATTCAGAGCTGACCTGCTGTCATTGGCACTGGAACGGGGAAATAATGTATTTTATTGCATAATTATAGCAAGATGTTCAAGACTATTAACTTACATTTAGCTAATTTTTATTTATGATCTGTCCTTTCCCTGGTGCATAATGACTTCCCTGTAGCAAGATCTGCTCTCCTTTCTCTTTCTATTTCTCCTGTGTGTATTCACGCCTGAATTTGAGTCTCATTTATTTTGGGTTGAAAGATATTTGATGTTAACCAGGAGTTGCACTAGAGCCATTCTTAACTAGTTTTATGATAGCTTATGTTTGGCTTGTCCACAAACTGAGAGCTGACATTCTAAGCAACATCCTAACATCTTATTCAGTTAATATTTTATTGGTTTTATTCAAGGGATTGTGGAGGATTGCAGTGCATGGTCACATTAAATCACATAGATCATATTATTTTCTCAACTCCCCTGCTAAAAGATTCCAAATATTAATTTCTGACAGTGATCTGGGATAGAATGACATTTATATTTTTATTTAGAAAAAAAAAAAGTTTACCTGAGATCTGTGCGGTGCTTTGACCCACTTAATGATTGAGGAAATCAGGTGAGCTGTGGAACTGAGCAAATAGGGAGGCTGAGGAAATGTGAATAATTAACATAAAAGAGCTGAACTATGCCTCAACTAGTATGACATTGCAATATTCTACCAATAATAAACAAAGATAAATACATTGAATATAACAACACCTAAGAAACATAGGTAAATAATCAAAACACGAATGAGGAAACGAGGAAGCTGTCCAGGAGAAAGAAGGTTTGGAGATTGAAGGAGCTGAAAACTGTAACATGAGGAAGTTATATGGCCAATAACACGGTCCTCCCTCTTCAACAATCCATGCATAAAGTCTTCAAGTTCATGGTGAACAATTGTAAGCAGAGATTACCCTGTGTGGACTTTTACACAGTTCTGATTGGTTCTTCTGGATTTCTTCTTCTTCTGTTGCTCCATTCTGATATGTCCTTTTCGAGTCATCTCATCTCGCATGTCAGTTTTCCTTCCAAAATTTTCTACTTTTCTCTTTTACTCATCTCAGGAGGCCGAAACATTCCCATGACGAATTCACTGCAAGCCCACATTGGTTAGTTAATAATTTTTTATAAATGTATTGTGTAATTTCTATTATCCTCCAATGTCCTTATTATTGTACTTCAGAGCCAACAAGGATTGTAAGAAAGATGATCAATCCAGGTAGAATTAAATGTAATGTTTTAAACTTAATGAGCATAAGGGAGCAGGGACCCCTCTCCTGAGAGTGTACTCCTGTATGTTGGCAAAGAAAATACCCAAAGCCATGACACATTGGTCACTAAGAGAACCATTAGTAGCAAACTTAATGGTGGGTTCAGATTTAAATAATTATAAAAATCTTCTGTTAAATACCCTTATTTTTTTGAAAATAAAATGAAAGTGATGTGGAAAAGACAATAGGCTTTTTACAAAATGGAAAACCTTGCATTTTAATGTTCAGAACAACTTGCATTGTTGAAAACTGATTTTACTTTTGTTTTGCTCAGTTTTCTATGTTTACTTGTTGCTGTCTTATCAAAAATCTGCCAGTTCACATCAGGCAAGGACAAAACACGATACAGCCCCCATGATCGATCATAGCCTGGAGAGCTCTGCAGGTCTGCATTTATAACCTGAATTATGACAGTGAAAGTGAATTCCTGCTTCCCTGAAATCGTTTCACTGAAGACAAAATAACAGTTAAAACTTCTGGGGGAGAAAGCAAAAGTAAAATTTTAAAGAATAAATCAAGTTTTCTGCTTCTGGCTTATCACGAGCTGCTTGGAAATTAAAATTCACATTTCCCTGTCCCTCCCCCAAAATATTTTAATATTATTTAAGTGAAGGAAAAAAAACTAAGGTAAACAATTTGCCATTGGTGAAGTAAATATCATATCTAATTTTTATTTTTCATGTTAGACTGACTGGAAAAAATTTCCAGATGTCATCAAGATACATAACGACTCTCAAATTTCCTTGTCCTTCAGACCATGTTAAACAAAATTGTATTTAATTCAAGAGATTTATTGTCGCATAGAAATAGTTAAAATGACCACATTCTTAACAGTTTGCCCCCTGGTGGTCCTCCCTCACCAACAATCCATGCATAAAGCCTTCAAGTTCATGGTGAACAATGCTAAGCAGAGATTACCCTGTGTGGATTTTTACACAGTCCTGATTGGTTCTTCTTGATTTCTTCTTCTTCTGTTGCTCCATTCTGATCTCATATCTGCCTTTACATTTAGTTGAGTGAAATATGCAAGATACAAGCCCTTGGAAGAAGATCAGTTAGTTGTCCTTCAAGTTTGTGTTCTCAGTTGCTGTTCTTCTTGTGAAAGATCAATCACAAGCATTTTGGCTCCCTACTACACACCTTGGAAACTCTTTTATGGTTACAAAATAAGAATAATCTTTACGTTTTGACAGATTTTTGTATCTCTTACTTCTTTTTGACTCATCAATGAGTCCCCATTCAACACCAAGCCGTTGAAGGACAGCACATTGATTTTTCTCCAAGTTTATGTTCTCGATGGGTTTTTGTATCTGAGGCTAATTACTTAACCAAATTACTGCAAATGTCACTGAACTGTGCTTTTAGTTTGTCTTCATTGCCTGTAATGCATTTTAAATGGTGAGGAAGCTCTTTGCTCTTCTGGAGTAGATTTTTCAAACTCTGTTTTCTTCTTATTAAGCATTTTTCTAGCATTATTTTTCCTGGATTACTTCATCCAGTTTTCTTTTCACACCTCTCACAAGTTCTTATGAAACTCTTTGATTTTGTTCTCAAATTGGTTTCAGTAGATAAATTGCCTATTGATTTACATATGAGTGTGAATGAGTGAATGTTGCTTTAAAGGTGCTTTGAGAAAAAACATCAAATAACTTCAGACCATTTATTTATTTATTTTAGGTTTATTTGGCTCTACTGGCTTTTATTTCAAAGTAGTTCAACATGTAAGATGGTAATGAGAGGGGGAAAGACATGAGGCAAATGTTGCCCAGGAGGCAACATTTGCCTCATGTCAAACTTGTGACTAGCACCACGAGGACTAAGACCTCCATACGTGGGTCATGCTTTGCCCCTTTGCCACAACAGACCATTTATTTTAATGGATTGATTAGCTGGTGTTACGGCCCAAGGCTATTCCTTTGGGGTTTAGCACCCTTGCTCCAGATATTCTCATTGGTGCTGATTGGAAGTGGAGGCAGCTGGCCAGTGTCTCCATGAATGACATCAGATCAGCATAAAATGCACCACCTTTTTCTCATCAGCCCAGCCCTTTTCTTTCTGTCTGTCCACTTCTCCTCTTTTTTCCCTTTCCTCTCCAACCAGCTATAATTTTTGTTAAATAAATCCTATTTTAAGTTATCCCATGCGTTGCTTCCTTTAATTTGTTATGGTATTAGAGCCAGACCATAACAAATTGGGGGCTCATCCAAATTTATGTTATAGTTTGGCATGACAGTTTTTTTTTGTTAGTAAGTTTTGTTTATTAATTTAATTGGGAAGTTAGTGTGGGAATCTTGAGTTTTTGTCTGAGAGAAATTTTGTTTTTTTTCTCTTCTTTTTCTGGTTTGGGGTAAGTAGTTTGCTTTCATTTCATCTGACGACTAATGGTAAGTGTGATTGTTGACTGGTTTGTGCAATTAAGTATGACTGATCTGAACTGATTCTCCTTTAGGCCTCAGTGTGTCTCCCCTTTGGGAGTCATGTGCTCAAAAAACAGTAGTGTGAGATCATATGGTTAGAGCAATTGTCTCGGGGGCACAGCCGTAGTGTTGAGAAGGTTGCCAGTTTTCTGGTCGCTTTTTTCACTCTACTGGTATTTAGTGCATAAGTACCCACCGTCCCTGATCTCTGAAGACTAGGGTTGAGCTAGTTAGTGTCTGATAGGCAGTTAGAGGGGAGGTTCAGGTTGGTTGTTTTGTGTTGCACAGATTGTCAGCAATTTACTTTAAATTTTGAAAAACTGTTTTCTGATTAAGAACTTAATTATGTCTGTTGAAGATTTTAATAAAAATCCATCAGCAGGATTTCTGGATTTGTGTTCAAGAGAACAATTAGTAAAAATTGCTGAGCACTATAAAATAAGTGTTGGTGATAAACGGTTGAGCAATTTTAAGGGAAAACTTAATTGAAATGGGTGTTTTGTCTTTTTCTTCAATGCCTGAAGATTTGGATTCAGAGATTGTAAAGCCTAAACTTTTGGATTTTGAACAACAAAAAGAGATGTTAAGATTAAGAATGCAACTGGAGAAGGGAAAGGAGTTGGCTTTGGAGAATTTACGACAGCAAGCAGATTTGGATAAGGTTCTTGCTTTGGAAAAACTAAGACAGGAAACTGAATTGGCAAAAATAAATTTGGAAAGTGAGAAATTACATCTGATGAAAGAAGGCAAATTGTCTGTGGAATCTTGTGTTATGGACTCAAAATGTAAGGCCTCTGACATTTTAAGTGACTTGCGTTTGGTGCCTAAGTTAGTGAAAAAGATGTTGAAACTTTTTTCACTTTGTTTGAAAGGGTTGCAGAGACAAGAGACTGGTCTGATTCAGACCGCATAGTTTTGCTTCAGTGTGTTTTGGTTGGTCGTGCTCAGGAAGCTTTTGCTATGTTGAGCTTAAATGATGGCCAGAATTATGCCAAGGTTAAAGCTGCAATACTGAAAGCGTATGAATTGGTCCCTGAAGCATACAGGCAGAAGTTTAGAAACTGGAAAAAGGTGACAAAACTTATGTAGAGTTTGCAAGGGATCTGGAGATTCATTTCAATCGTTGGTGCACTTCCTCTGAGGTTAAAACACTTGGTGACCTCTGTAATTTAATGGTTCTTGAACAATTTAAGAACTCTGTTTCTCAAGGCATTGCAATGTACATTAATCAACAGAAGGTAAAAACTGTATCAGAAGCTGCAGTGTTGGCAGATGATTTTGTCTTGACACATAAAGATACTGGTGGAGAACACACAGATGGGATGAGTGCTCCAAACTGGCGTTCAACACGTTCTGGAGGGTTTTTTTCAGACCGCAGTATCCGTGAGCCAGACAAAATTTGTACTTATTGTCACAGAAAGGTCATTGGAAGAAAGACTGTGCTTTGTTGAAATCTAGAAATAAAAATGGAAATTAGGTTAAACCAGCAGCACTTGCTGCATCAGTTTTAAATGTTTCTAACAAAATGACTGAAGTGCCATTTTGGCATTCTGGCATCAGTGTTGTCTTTTTCAGATGAGTCTGACACTGGATTATCAATACCTGTGTTGGGTATGAGCATGTCTGTGTTTTGTGTTCCAGTACATAAGCTTATGCTTCATTCGGAGTTGTTTGAAGGAGAAGTAAGGATGGGTGTCAGACCTGCGCTACCTGTGGTTGGTGTCACAGTTATATTGGGGAACCATATAGCTGGAGGGAAAGTCTGGCCTGATAAACCAGAATCTCCAGTTATTGTTTCAGTACCTTTGGTCAGCAGTGGTCCTGACAAAAATGAAAAATCATACCCAGAAGTTTTCCAAGCATGTGCTGTGACACGAGCAATGAAAGCATCCAGTGATGATCATCAGGATGAAAACTTTGGAAAAGATACACAGACATCCTCTTTTTGTTGGTCTAATATTCCTTTGTCTATTTCACAGAGTGATTTGGGACAGGAGCAAAGATCTGACCCCACAATACAGCATTTGTTTCAGTCTGCATTACCTGCTGAGGAGATGCAGAACCATGCTCATGGCTACTTTGTTGAGAACGAGGTACTGTTAAGGAAGTGGATGCCATGTGGTGACGATGTTATTGGGCAGCCAGTTTATCAGGTTGTGGTGCCTTTGAAATTGCGTGACTTGGTTTTGCAGGTATCCCATGATAAGTCCGGACACATGGGAGTTAGAAAAACCTATGACCGCATTTTGAGAAGTTTTTATTGGCCGCCGCTGAAAAAAGATATTGCTTCATATATTAAAACTTGTCACACCTGTCAGTTGACTGGTAAACCCAATCAAGTCATAAACCGGGCACCACTGTATCCTATTCCGACTATTGGTAAACCATTTGAGCACTTAATAATTGATTGTGTGGGTCCTCTTCCACCTTCACGTTTGGGTGCTAAGTATCTTTTGACAGTTATGTGCCAAGTACCAGGTATCCAGCAGCCTATCCATTGCACACACTTACTGCAAAGTCTGTGGTGCGAGCGCTTGGGCAATTTATTGGGTATTTTTGGAATACCTAAAGTCATTCAGAGTGACCAAGGATCTAATTTCTCCTCTCATTTGTTTGCACAGGTTTTGAAGCAGCTACACATTCAGCATAATCAATCTAAGCATATCACGCACAGAGCCAAGGAGCACTGGAGCGCTTTCATCAGACATTAAAATCTTTACTCCGTGCTTACTGTGTTCAGATGAAGGCTGATTGGGAGGATGGTCTGCCTTGGTTATTACTTGCAGCAAGAGAAGTAACGCAAGAAAGTACGGGCTTTAGCCCTGAATTAGTATTTGGTCATACTGTGCGTGTGGTCCATTAACAGTTTTGCGAGATGAGTGGAAAGATGAACCACCACAAAAACTTGTTGCATTATGTTAATGGGTTTAAGCAGAGACTCTTTACTGCAACGCAGATGGCAAATAAGAACCTATCATCTGCACAGGAAAAAATGAAGTGCTTGTATGATAAGAAAGCTGAACATTGTGTTTTTTCTTCAGGTGATCAGTCCTGGCTTTACTTCCTGTTGTGACTTCACCATTTCAGGCCAAGTTTTCTGGCCCACACACAGTTTTGAAACAGCTTTCCGACCAAAACTATCTCATTGCAACTCCAGAAAGACGGAAGAAACAGCAGACGGTTCATGTAAACCTCTTAAAACCATACCATGTTCGTGGTAAGACTGTATTGGTGGATGATATTCACCCTGTGTGCATCAGTGAAACGCTGACATCTGCTGGAGGTGAATGGAATGGCGATGGGTTGCCTGTTCCAGATTCAGCCATGCTAACTGGTCGACTTATAAATCTGAAGTACTGAAGAACTTGGACACTATGCTGAATTATTTACCAGAGACTCAATGCTTTGAGTTGATTCGGTTGATAAAATCTACTCTGATTTATTTGCAGATATTCCATCCTGCACATCTGATTGAACATGATATTGAGGTGGGTGATGCACAACCTATAAAACAGCGGTTTTACAGGGTTAGCCCTGAAAAACGCAAAAATCTTGATGCTGAGATTGACTACATGTTAAAAAACGGGATCGCTCAAGCATCATGTTCAAGCTGGTCTTCACCTTGCTTGCTAGTTCCAAAATCAGACAAAACATACAGGTTTTGTTCTGATTTCAGAAAAGTCAATAGCATAACCAAAACTGATTCATACCCGCTACCTCGTATGGATGACTGTATTGACCAGATTGGTAATGCTAAGTTCATTACTAAAATAGACCTGTTAAAAGGTTATTGGCAAGTCCCTTTAACAAAAAGGGCACAGGAAATCGCTGCCTTTATACACCTACTGGTTTGTACTCGTACAATGTTATGCCTTTTGGTTTGAAGAATGCGCCGGCAACTTTTCAGCGCTTGATGAATAAAGTTGTTGGAGGTTTAGAAGGTTGTTCTGTGTATTTGGATGACATTGTTGTCTATTCTCATAGTTGGTCTTCTCACCTGGAACAACTCACAACTTTGTTTGACCATTTGGTGGAGGCACGTCTCACAGTGAATCTAGCCAAATGTGAGTTTGCTCGAGCAACTGTCATTTATCTTGGTCATCAAGTGGGTCAAGGTAAAGCATGTCCAGTTAAAGCAAAGGTAGAAGCGATTGAAAAATATCCACCACCAACTACTAAAAAGGAACTCATGAAATTCCTGGGTTTAGTTGGGTATTATAGAGCCTTCTGCAGAAACTATTCAAAGGTGGTTGCACCTCTGACAGATCTTTTGAAAATTAATGTGAAATACAGCTGGTCCTCTGTCTGTCAGCAGGCTTTTGAAGATGTGAAGAGGATGCTATGTGATTCTCCTGTTTTGTTGGCTCCAGATATGAATAAGCCTTTTAAACTACAGGTTGATGCCAGTCATGTTGGTGCAGGGGGAGTCCTTTTGCAAATGGATGACTTTTTGATTGAGAGACCTGTGAGTTTCTTCTCTAGGAAGTTAATAGACATCAACTGAATTATGCAGTCATAGAAAAAGAGACCCTTGCTCTTATTTGGTCATTACAACATTTTGAGGTTTATGTGGGCTCAGGTCCTTTAACTGTCTTTACAGATCACAATCCTCTGACCTTTTTGAACTCTTTTCGATGCCCAAATCAGAGACTTGTGAGATGGTCGTTGTTTCTGCAGTCATTTTCTTTAGATATTCGTCATATCAAGGGAAAGGATAATGTCATCGCAGATGCTTTGTCAAGAGCGCAAAGTCAGTAACTTTTTTTCCCCTTTTACCTATCTGAGTCACTTCATGGTACCAGTTGTCGACTTGGACATGGGATATAAAAGGATCTGGATTTTGTTTTCTGTTTCATCTCAGCTTGTCTGAGATATCGTGAGTGTATTTAAACTTGTTTTTCTATTTTTTTTCAGATGTTGATACATAGGTTGCCCAGGGTTCCGGTGGGGACCCTGTTTTGAAGAGGGGGGGTGTTACGGCCCAAGGCTATTCCTTTGGGGTTTAGCACCCTTGCTCCAGATATTCTCATTGGTGCTGATTGGAAGTGGAGGCAGCTGGCCAGTGTCTCCATGAATGACATCAGATCAGCAAAAATGCACCACCTTTTTCTCATCAGCCCAGCCCTTTCTTTCTGTCTGTCCACTTCTCCTCTTTTTTCCCTTTCCTCTCCAACCAGCTATAATTTTTGTTAAATAAATCCTATTTTAAGTTATCCCATGCGTTGCTTCCTTTAATTTGTTATGGTATTAGAGCCAGACCATAACACTGGGAAAACACCAAAGAGAAAAAATAAAACTTCTAAAGACTCACTCATATAGTATAGCCAAAATATTATAGGATTTTTGTAGCTCCATGTTTTTTTGTATTTTAAAATAAAAAAAGTTAAAAACAAATTTTAAATTAAATTGGAGGTTTTTCTGTGCTGAAAGACCCCTGGGTGGTGGAATCATGTAAAGTGTAAATTCTACAACCTTCTGCAGAGAAGAAGTAACGTGACAGGACAGGAAGTCTTTCTTCACGAACCCCAAGCACAGAGAGACTCTTATTCCTGACAATATTAAGCCATGTAGAAATTTTTATCTTTCTGTCATGTTCTGTGTTTTTCTGTGTCAGGAGTTCTCTTCGTTGTCCTGTCTTCCTCTTGATTGTTCCCAGGTGTGTCTTGTTCTCTTGATTACCCTCAGTGTATTTAGTCCCTCCTGTGTCCTTTGTTCCTGGTCGGGTCCTTGTCGTCGTCGTACTGTTGTCATTTGTCAGTGCCGTTGCATGTTTCCGCCCTTAAGACCAGTTGCTACCGGTGTTAAGCCCTGGCTTCCGCTCAGCCGTGCTGCCTGGCCACGGACTACTCTGTTGACTGTGTATTCTGGACTGTTTTTGGTATTAAATATTGACTACTCACTTTACCTGGACCTCCAGCGTCTGCCTCACCATCTCCACCACCACAATTCATGACAGTTTCATTTTCAGTTTCTGAATGAAATATATTAAATATAAATATTTTCTGTTTCAGATTGTGTGGAAACTCCATGGACATGCTTGAAGAGGAACTTCTTGGTGAATATGAAGTTCTCATTCCAACTGTGTTCATGTTTACCTCATTATCTATAATCACTGTGATGGGGAATGTTCAATCTGACACTTGAAGATCTGCTAAGAAACCCATAGATATATGTTCAAAGAATATACAGCAGTACATTTGAAGTGGACAAGTTAAAGGTAAAGTCTTTGATAAAGAATTATACTAAACATGTATCATTAAAAGTAGTTCATTCTTTTGCATGAAAGATGGATCTCACTATAAACAACCTGAGAAATCCTGGAACAGACGATGTTGGTGAGAATGGATTCTCCCGAATCTGATCCACAACATTTAACTCATTTGTTTTCACACCTTTATTTATTTTGAAGAGGTGAAGAAGAGAAACATGAGCATTTTAGTGAATTTAATACAAGTTAAAGTCAAACATAACTTTTACTGGTGAAACAGTGTTCTGCATCATTTGTGTTATCTGTCCTGTTAAATCTTACAATATTTATTATAAATGATGTGACATGTCAAAGAAGTATGTTTATTTTATTTACTTCAAGAGTGGTTAAATTTTTACATCATCATTTTCTATTATAAAACCTGGAGTTTATTTAGAGAAGAAAAGAAATTTACACAGAATAAGGCATAGAATGACTAAAGAAATAAAAAAAACTTACAAGAAAGATGGAGAACATTCAGTTGCTTAACAAATTACTTTAAATCACCAAAGTTGAACATAAATGAAAAAATAGGGGAAGAATCTAAATTGTTTTTCATTTACATAAAACATCTAGTTCATGAAATTCACATGAGGTTTATTTTAAGGTATTTATCTACTGGATCAATATGATTGTAATGATTTTAATGTTACCATACATGCATAAAATGTTAAAACATGAGAAAAAATACCATAATAAACTGATTCCCTCTGGATACAAAAGACAAGCTGTTTACGTACTGTAACCCAAATCAAGAGCAAATTCGATTTTCAATGCTTATTTCCTAAATAACACCTTTTAGTGACTAAAAATAATCAGAATAACAAAAAAATAATTAGACTGAATAATAATATAGAGTAAAACATACAGCTGTTTGTTTGAAGCCTTTTGAATTATCCTTTAATTATAACTCAATCAGGATGTGAAAACCAAAGGTAATAAATGATCATTTATTCATTTTGAAGAGCCTTGAACATCACAATTACTGCTCAAACCCACAACTTTTATTAGTTTCTATAAACACCTG